GTAAAATTTTGATAGATACTGATTATTCTAGTAATCGATTATCTACTAATGAGATTTTCAAGAGATCTGATGAAAATGTTTTACAAGAATCAAACCTTAATGACCCCATGTCTACTGTCGTTGATCCTCATCATCTAGTCAATTCTAGTGGACTGTCTACTCAATGCGAGAAATATACTTTAAATAGAGTCACACTAACTGTAACTTGGGAATATGAGGATCCAACATTATTTCGTGGGGGAGGATGAAGTCATAAAATTTAAAGACGGATCTCAACATGGAGTCCTCAAAAAAAGAAGGGGAGGTGATATGATGGAAAGAAAGTCAATTTTCTATCGATTTACTCATTATAAGTTTTATTCAACATCTGTTTTGATTCAATGTAATGATTACTCAATGTAGTATTTCTTTTCTTTTCTCGTATGATATTTTATTCTGTATAATATACGACATTGTTGTATTCAGTTGACATGAACTATGCTCTATAGGTGATTTGTGATAACTGAGTATTTTTCATATATGTGATTTCATTCTAATTATTAATCAAAATGGGTGTACAATCAATATATAAATGAGTGTATTTTCGACTAAGGTCGTCGTCGTTATCATAGTGTTTTGGACTAATAAAACTTCGCTTATACCAGTCTTATGTTCTTACTTTCGCGTTGTGGGAATTGTGGAGGTCCCTTTGTTCCGAGCATAAGTGGTCAGCGATTCCGACATAACAATCAGCGACGACCAGATATAAAAAGTAGAATTCGATTCGCAAGTCATAACAGTGACCATCTTCCACTCTCTTTGGTGGATAACTGCTTCACGCTCGACAGGGTTAAACTCCACTAGTTCATGACTTCTCACCAAAACTGCTGAAATTTCCTCTCGAACCTAGTCATCAGTAACCATATGATAATTCTCGGTGTAGGGTCATAGATACTGTTGAATTCCGTTAAAATTCCGAACCAATTTTATTATTTTTTACTTGAAATGCGTTTGAAAACTACTCGTTTTCTACAACCAATGTAACTCTTAGTTGATTTCCTTTCTATACAATTGTAAATTGTGATCATTTGAAGTAATTCACCTGATCATACAATAGTCTATATCGATAAGTCTTTCTATATTTGCCTGTATTTCAAGATGATGTAGTCATTGTGATAGCCACAAAAAAACGGATTTCTACCACTTTTCAAAACAACAATATACAAACATTTGAAAAGCTAACGGTTTATCCAATATTTTCATTATATTTCTAGTTGTCCACACATTAAGTTATCGACTAACCAACTTTAGGTGCTACTCAACTTAATATATGCAAATCCAACTACTGGTTAGTGTAAATAAAGCATTAAAATCTGTATATTTAGACGTAGTCTTGATTTGTTTTTTATGGTATAATAAACCTCCATCTTAAGCCTTTAGTTTTTTTCTTACATGGATCCATATGGAATTTCCGTCCGATTGTAACCATTCTTTTCCACCCTGAATTCAACATTTTTTATACTAATTAGGTAATTTACCATGACAGCACTCACTGTTACACAATAGTAAGTGTCATGATTTAGTCTGAAAAGACTGGATGAATACAGTTGGAAATTTAATGAATATACCACATCCAATACAAATGCTATCTATACTACTATTTAAAAACTATTGATATAAGCTTGAAACTTCTCAGGATTTAGAAACATGGTATTGTGGTATATGCTGCTTATGTCGCTGACAGATATAAGTAGTATGTGACAGCAATCGGAAGTGGAATGACTTCTAGAAGAAGATTGGATTGAAGAGAACAGGAAAAGAATCAGAAAGCGATTGGAATAACAACAGAATTGGAAGAGCCATGAAGCATGTAAAGGACAACTGAAGGAAGATGTGAAAATAATGTATTTCATGTATGATTATCATATTTTATGAAGTCACTATGTAATTCCGAATTTTAACAATAAATTGGTTATCCCCTCATGATTTTTCGTTCACCTCAGTATCCGTAACTTCTTTTAAAATATAAACTTAAAATTAAACTAATCAGATATTGGATATTTGGGTTGATAGTCAGTTTTTCAAGGATTAAGAAGAAACTCGGTGGGATTTTATTCTTTCCAGCTTAGCACAGAATCGAAGACAAGATCTTCATATCTTACAAATAATACAATATCTTAAGATCAGTCCGTTAGAATGCAACTCTCCAGACGTTTAACTTTAATCCACTAATCCTTAATTTTCAATACTTTTACAAGTAACACCAATTTTATGGTTTATATCATGGAGTGACCTCACTTAGATAACCAATAAGAACTAGGAAGCACTGGGCAGCTGTTTTGTCCAAGGGCGAGACTCCTACCACAGATCGAACCTAAGACCTTCAGGTCTTGTTCCGAGCTATAAATCTTCAGACAACTATGTTGGTATGTAATGGTTTATATTTCTAACTTCAATCAGTTCATGAAATTGATAAACAATCTTACAGTGGTACTGATGGGTAACTGCCTCACGTCCGATATGGATGAAGTCCATTACATTTCGTGGAAGTGCCTCTCAAAACTAGTTACTATTAAGCACATGATTATAATTGGTGTGTGAATTAATTGAAGTTAGGCACGAAAACAATTGGATGAGAGTTCAGTGGTCTAAGTGTGTGGCGCTCTAATTCTGAGTCTCTTCCTTTCTAAAAACGTAAATACACATTACCGAAGAGTTCCTTACCAAAAGGAAGTAACTTCTCAGTGGTCCTGGTTTTTAATGGTTATCTAACTAATATTTGTTCGTAATGTAAACTAAACAATATAAAATCATTATGGGGATGATAGAGATCGTATTATTTTAATAGTTGAATTCACAAGTCAATCTAAGCTAGACTACCATTAAAGCCTGAAAGCACTGAATGGCCATTGAATGCCGGCTCAATGGTCTGGAGGTTAAGCGTTCGCGAGCGAGACCGAAGGTATCGAGTTCAAGTCCCATATGTTGGATCATGGATGCGCACTGCTGAATTCCATATTAGGATGAAGCGGCCATTCAGTACTTCTAGGTTTTCAATAGTGGTCTAGCTCAGATTGACTCATGAATTCAACTGTACTACGATCTCCATAAACCCCTTATACCAATAATGTTTATTTGTTAAAACGCTTCCAATTTCAATCATCTTAATATTTGATTATTATTGTACAGTAACTATAATTCATCTTTATTCTTAACTATTCTAGATAAATCAAGGAATAATACAGAAAAGTGCAAATTATAACAAACAAAAAGTTAATACATTGTCAATATGATTTATTCTCTGTATCTCTACTACGAGTTCAGTTGATTATACCTTGAATTCAATATTTATCGAAAATAGTTCTATTTTGCAATACTATCGGTATTATTATTGTTGCTATGCTTTAAAAAGAAATAACAAAAATAGACTGTAATAAAATTTAATTATCATTATATAATTATTCATTAAGTTCACCATTTTGATACATTAATCATTGTGATTATGGTGCAAGTACTTTAATAATCGAAACATTAATTTTAATAATTATGCTTTCTAATATTATTAGTACATAACAATTTCTATGATAAAAATGCCTTTGAGACTCATTTCGACTTTTGGACAGATAAATTGATGTAATCTTTGCAGTGATTCTATCATAAATATATTTGCCCTTGTCAAGTATTTACGTGTAAACTTATTCATTTTTTTTATAAATGTGTACATAGTAATATGTATACGTCTATTGCCTTCTTGTAATTCATGTATGACTTGTAAAAACTGAGTGACCTTATTATTCATTGAACCAGTGTATTACCAAACTTAAATTATTGCATCATCCATTTGTTTGTCTGATGTCCATTATGAGAACGCATAAAATATACATATCCTAAATACAGTTTGTATTCAACTTTAATTATCTACGTTTGTGTCATTGTTGTTCGTTAACGGAATGAATACAAAATAAATAGAATATACATTTCATTACTGTCAATATAGTTCAGTCATTACGTAGTCAACAACAAGCAATAAAAGTATATGTAATAGATATTGAACCAGTTAGCTTAACAAAAAAATAGTCATCTATCAGAGTTAGAGAATTCTAAAAGAAATCACAAATAATATGTACAATTCAGTACGGTAGGGAACTTGTAGCAACTTAAATGTCTAAGTGGCTACGTCTATGGATGCTGTTTTAGGTTATATTAGTATAAAATTATCATATGTCTCTTCTCTAACACTTTAACCATTCAATATCATGATAATGATAACACTAAAATTCAGTTTCGAATACCAACAATAGGATAATACAAACCCTTAAGAATAAAATTCATACCTACTAACTAAATTACTAGCTATCTAAACTCAACAGTTCATCGAATAAAGCGTTGGTATATAGAACTGTAGCTACTGGGTTCAAATCTCATTGTGAACATCAACATTAAGATCCATGAAAACTAAACTGATGAGTCTTAAACAGAACCAAACTTATGCCCATGTTTGTACACACCACAGACCATACATACTAAGACTTATAACAAAAAGAAAATACCGCGAAAATCCTCATACAATAAAATAATAGTATAGGGTTTTTCAGATGCTCTGTTACACTTGTAACCTACGGAATTAGGAAAATATCAAAGACCAGAACAATACACCTAGACCAACATCCTGTCAATAAATTTATGAAAATAAATCCAAAATCATTTGTCAAAAATGAGCAATAACCGTAATTTATTTACAGCATGCATATATATATATATATATATATATATATATATATATATGACCTGAGCATCAATAAGAGTTTTCAACATTTTTCACAAAATTGTACAAAATTAATCATAGATTCTCTTATTTTCAACCTTACTTTATTGTCAAGTAACAAAAATAAAAAAATATATGTATATAGTTCAATCATTAATATCAAAATGATATGAAATGATGATCTTATTTTTTTTTCTTAACTATACATATAAGGCGCACAAAAGTAACTTGATGATCTATTAAAACAGTAGAATATTCAATGTTGAAGATTTGTTGACATTGCACTGAATTTGATCAATTGATTACTATTACTACTTCGATTACTATTATTATCAGTATTGATAGTAATATTTGTAATAGCTTTTATACGACTCTTATTATTATTATTATTATTTTTATTATTTTTATTATGTTTTAATGATTTCAATTGACTAACTTTATTCGTTTGACTATGTGGTCTTGTAAAAGAATTCATTGATAGATTTTTAATTTCTGACGTTGAGTATTGATTCTTTTGTTTTATAGATTGATGTTGATAATGAATTAAGTTACCAATAAATGAATGATTTGAATTATGAATACTTTTAATAGTTAATGCATTTTTCTCATTAATATCTGATTGAATAGAAAGATTATTTCTTGATAAATTATTTAATCTTATTTTATTCATTAAATAATCATCATTAGTATTAGTAATATTTTGATGAATTTGTTTACCAAATACAGATACTGTTTGATATTCTTTAGAATTCATTGATATAGGTAAATTATCATTGATTTTTAGACCATTCATTATTGATTTTTTATTAATGATCTCTGGTAATGTAATTTCACATACTGGATTATATACTTTACTAATAGAATGATTATACCAATTAGATGATTGAATTATTCCATAATTAATTATATTTGATAATATTTTTTCTTCATAAAAATGTAAAATATTATCTCTTTCTTCTTTAGTTATATGTATTCCATCAATAATTTGTAATTTAGGTATATAATATATTAATATAAATCGATGTATTTGTTTTGTTGTAATTGGATTAGAAATTAATGAAATTTCATATAAATTTTGTTGATTTTTAGCAAAATTTTCTAAATCAATAAAATTATTTAATTTATTACAACCAATATATAAACGTTTTAAATTTTCTAATTTACTTAATTGATTTAATTCATTAATATTATTATTTTCTAAATGTATTTCATTTAATGTCCAATTATATAAAAATGTTAATTCATTTATTAATTTAATTTTATTATTATCTAATATTAATTCTTTTAATTGATTAAGACCTTCTATACCATTAATTGTATGTAATTCATTATTTTGTAAAAATAATGTTTGAATATTATTCATACGATGAAATTGAAATTGTTTTAATGAATGTATATTATTATTAGCTAAATGTAATACATTTAAATATGGATAAATTAATTGTTTTGATTTATATAAATTAATAAACTGTAAATCAATGGGATCGATTTTTTGATGATGATTATTATTATTATTATTATTATTATTATTATTATCATTTATAGCTAATGTATAAATATGATTTGAAAATAAACTTTCTATATTATTATCATTTAAACAAATAATTTGTAAATTTTTAAAAAATAATAAACCACCAAATGATTTTAAATAATTTTTTTCTAAATTAATACATTTTAAATGTATTAATTGATTTGGATCAATATAATCAATTTTATATAACATACATTTTGATAAATTTAATTCTACTATATTTATAAATTGATTAATATTTAAATAATTTAATAAATATTCATAAGATAAATGACCAAAATATAATTCATTTGATTTAATAAAATCATTTATTGTAATTTCATAACCATCAATTGATTTAATTGATTTGATATAATAAATTAATTGATATATATAATTATTGATTAAATTACATAATGGATTACCATATAATTCTAAAATATTTAAATTTAATAAATTTTTTAAATATAAAATATTCATAAAATGATTTAATTGATTATTACCAAGATATAATTCAATTAATTGTTGACAATAATAAATACCATCAATTGTATAAATTTGATTATTACTTAAATTTAATTTATATAAATTAATTAATGATTTAAATTGTAATTTATTCATTTTTTTAATTTTATTATTACTTAATAATAATGATTGAAGTTTAATTAAATGATTAATATTATCAATTGATTCAATTAAATTATATTCAATTGATAATTCAATTAAATTGATACAATTATTTAAACCTTCAATTTTTTTTATATAATTATAATTTAATGAAAGATATTTTAAATTTGTTAAATTATTTAAATGTTCAATTTTATATATATTTAATGATTGTAAACATAATGATGTAATCAAATTTAAATTATTTAATTTTATTGGATTATTATATAAATATTGATAATAATGATAATGATAATCATGATAATAAGCAATAGGGAATAAAGTTAAATTTTGATCAAATTCATTATATTGATCAAACTGATTATTATTATTATTACTATGTAAATTTTCAATCATATTTGATGTGATTATAGATGAATTGAATAATTTATTAGCTAATTGAATATCATCATAATGAATAAATTGAAAATTCAATAATTTAATTGAAGATAATTTATGAATTGTATATAATTTAACTAATTTATCAATATTCCATGGATTATAACGCCATGATAATTTTTCTAATTTTGGTGTATTTCTTAATAAAATTGATACATTATCAATAATACATATTAATTGATTATAATCTACTTGAAGTTCAATAAGATTAGGCATATATCCTATTGATTCTAATGAATTTAATTGATTATGATTAATAATTAATGTGATTAAATTATTATTTATATTATTACATTGAATAAATGATAAATTTTCTAATTGACAATGTGTTATATTTAAATAAGTAAGATTAGAAAAATTAAAAAATTGTAAATTTTTTATAATATTAAAATCAATTAAAAATAAATTCGTTTGATTGAAATAAAAATTAATTGAATTATGTAATAATTCAGAATTATTTATAATTTCATTAAAATGATATAATTTATTATCATCTTCTATTGATGATAATATAGATATTGATTTTATAAAATTTTGATCATTTTTTATTTTTTCATCATATATTTGAAAATTATTATTTAATTCAATATTAGTTTCTATATTGAACTGATCAAATATTGAATTATATTGATTATTTTTTAATAAATATTCTAATTCTACAATATATTCTGGATAAAATAATTTATTTTTTAAGAGATCAGGTTTTTTTATTTGTGATAAACAATAACAATTTGATTGATTTTCATAAAATTTAATGTTTTCTAAACATGTTTGATCTTTTTGATCATTATTATCATTATTATTAAGGTTGTGATTAGTTGACATAGATACTTTAATTAATAGTAAACGTGCTATAGGATCATAATGATTTAAATTTCCTTCAGAAATATATTGATATATAATTTGTAAATTTTTATTATCTGCTATATTTAAATTATTTGTTAATTTATATTGATCACCGATTTGTAATCCATTACGAATAATATTAATATATAATTTTAATTCATCAATTTTTTCAGGACATACAATAAATAAATAATTAGAAAATGTTGAATATTTAATCGATAAATTAGTAATTGATGATTGAAAACATTGTTTATATTTCTTATTAAAATTTTGATTAAATATTCTATTATTGATTTTATATAAATGTAAAATTTTAATTCCATTTATTATTGATTTAGTTTTTTCATCATGATAACAAAATCTAGTATTAAGAAATTCATTACAATCAATAAATAAATTATCTTTATTATTTATTTCATTTATTTCTATATAACCAAACATTTGTAATTCTAAATCATAAATATGTTTACGAAAATTTAAATGTTCTTGTAATCTGTTATATAATAAATTATATTTTGATTTATATTGATCATGTATATTTTCCCAATCATTGATTTTTTGATTAAGTTCATGTATTAAATTTATTGAAATTGGATAATCATACAATATATTCATATTTTCTTGTTTTCTTATTATATTTTGTAATAATTTTAATGTTTTATCTAGATATTTTATATGAATATCAATTTTATTATATAATTCATTTAATAATAATTTTAATGAATTTATTTTATTTTCAATAATTGTTTGATAATGTTCATATTTCATCATATAATAATATTTTTTATTTTTTATAATTATATTAATTGTATATTTTAAATCAATATAATCAATATTAATATAATCAATATTACATAATTGTGGTAATTGATAAATTAATATCATTGGTAAATTAATATTATAACATAATGGATTTTTTTTATATTCTGGTTCATTAATATTTAATGTTTTTAAATATGGAAGTTTTGATAATAATAATATATCATTAATATTCCATAATTGATTACCAGATAATGATATCATTTCTAATTGTTGATTATATAATAAATTATTATTTAAATTTATAATATGATTACCAGATAAATTTAATTGTTTTAATAATTTTAAATGATTTAATCCTTCAATATTATAAATTTGATTATTATTTAACCATAAATATTCAAGTTTATTATTATTTGTTAAATTTTCAATTTTTTTAATATTATTATCATATAAATATAATTCAATTAATTGTTTACATGTATTTAAATTTTCAATTTTTATTAGATGACATTCACATAACCATAACTTTTTTAAATTAGGACATGTTTCTAATTTTGTTATTTTATTAATATTTTGTGATATAATAATTAATTCAGTAAGATATGGAAAATTTTGTAATGAAATACATTTTTTAAAACCATTAAATAATATAAATAATTTATAGTTATAAAAATAATCATCATTTAAATTTTTATATTGAATTCCATTGAAAAGACAAATTTCATGAAGTATATTTAATGATTCAAGATCCATTGAATATTTAACTTGGTTGGGTTTTTTTTGTTGTTGTTATAATTATTATTAGAAAATATCATGAAATATTTGAAATTTTTTTTTAATTACTATTAGCTATTCATTGTTTTTTGTTTCTTTGTTGTTATTGTTGTTCTTGTTGATGATGATGATGATAATAATAATAATTCAAATGAATATGAATTAGATTAATTATGTATCTTTAGAGGTATGCTAAAAAAACAACAACGAAATAAGTAAACAAAAAAGAATCATCTTGAATTAAACTTTGTAAAATGTATTGTTATATATATATATATATATATATATATATATATATATATATATATAATTTATTCTATTTAGACTAAATTTATTTTTCCCAATCTGAGCATAATTATGATTAAGAATTAAGAGATAATTTAGTATTCAAAGAATAAAATTATACTTCTCTCACAACTAATCTATTATAACTTGTGATCTATGTGCCCTGTGAATGTATAACGTAATGATACCGCTAATTAGAGAGTAGTGAATTAGTGATCAAACTAGTGATGCATAAAATACGTACGAGCAGTCTATAGTGCTTATCGATTCTGCTTTCTGCTTAGCCCAGCCAGTTAAATCCGGAACACCAATCTCAGCCTTTTCGATATGAATCGTTTATTTCAAACATACTAGGTTTATATACAAATCAAACAGATCACATCGTACTATAAAATGGAAAATAACATTGGTACAAGATTTAGCCAAAAGTGTTTGTGAATCTGGGAGATAATAATTGATAGACTAGGTATAACTCGAGAATGGTGAATCGTATAATAACAGTTCATAAATCAAAATGAAGCTTATAATAAGAGGGATATGAATATGAATAGTTTAGTTATTTAAAAATTATACGATAAAAATATACCCATAGCACTGGTCCATAAATAGATCCCAAAAGTTACCATTCATTATGCTCATCACGGCATAACATAACCAAAATACCACAAATGTTAATGGTGCACGTGTGAAACTTAAGAGAGCTCTCTATATACATCAAGTTAGTCATAATATATCCAACTGCGGCGAGACTATAATTTATGGACGACCTTTCAGCTACTCTAAACTGATCTTGATAGTGTTCACCTAATAAATAGGACCAAATGAGGGTTATAAATCTGTGTGAAGATTTCGAATTGTAATTTACAATTGACGATTAAGGTTGGAAATTATATTTAAGGTTTTCACCGCGAACTGACATCAGCTATAATGCCAAAACCCTATCTTGTGCTAAAATCCGAGACCTGTTATCTTATACCTGATTGGTTCGTCCTTAAATTATAGTCTCGCCTAAACTGCCAGTCAATATACTATTTATCAACAGTTACGTTATTGTGTAAATAAGTGTATACTTCCGTCACCTGTAGTGCAACTGACTTGTCCATCTAACAGCTAAGAAGTGAATATGTTTAACACCAGTTCAATCTATTTCACTTTATGGCTGCAAAACGCATCTCTCACAAATAGAGCACATTCAAAGGCCAGTAGTATCTGAGATCAACTATCCTTAAAGTATTGCCTGTATATGTTTGAACTACCAAGTAAGAAAATTATTTTAAACCTTTTATTCTACAAGTTAATCCTTTCGGTGGGACTGTAATTTGTAGACGAATCAATCGGATTTAAGACGAGGAAACTTTGATTTTAGAGCATAACGCACTCATCCATATGGCTCCACGTGGCGTCATTTAGTCAGTCAGTAACAAAGTCATTTAGTGATTAAAACTCTATCCCCAATTTTAACTCTTAACTCTACTTCTAGACCTCAACGCTTTACACTCATTTATAACCTCATTTTAACATACGTAAGCGGCCAGAGTTCTTCAAGGTGACTTTGGTATCACTCAGAAATCACAGTTATTGTCTCAATATGCTTCCCTCTCAAATCATATTCTTTATACCTAATATTTGTTGCTATAACCGACACTAATACTTCTACTACTTTAGTATTCACTTTGACAACTTCATCTTGATGTGTTGATATGGTGTATCAACTTGGGACGATGAGAATTCGGCTGACGTTCTAAGCCTCACACAACTGACTGACTACATACTACGAAGTTAGTTGAACTGTAAGTATAACTTAAACAAGGAAATCTGATACGAGAAAAATGATCTGTAACTGCTGCTGATTGGACTTTTTTACATATTTCATAGATAAAATGGCCAATTTTTAACTTATTTATTTTTCATTTTCATTTACTATGCTTACAATGCATCCTAGATTATTGACGGTAATCTTTTTAACCCTGCATAGCAAACTTCTTTTTGTCTTTTCATGAAAAATATGAACTATTTTGTCTTTATTGAATTTTGGCTAATCATCAAAGATCAGGTAGTTCACACGTTAAAACAAAACCAAGTCCAAGTACCTGACTGAAACCCGCATGATTATCGTGATCAATTGTTAGATACCTTAATTGAAATGGCTCAAAATCGTTTGTAATGACACAGATGTATCGATTCCTTATCTCTCCCCTCTAATTCTAAGCTTCTGAATTCCTCACAATGTTTTTGTTTTTACTAATTTGTATTTTCTTCAATGTTATCTTCGATCCATAATCTTTGCTATCACTACTTATATTGTTGCCAGCTCTAATGAATCGGGATTTCCCTTGAAAATTTCATTTCTCTGTTCTAATTGGGTTCGACAACTACAATTGATGCATGTATGTACTAGGTTTTAAGCCGCGACGAACTGACTGGTTCAAAACCTGTGTAAGTCCATAGAGCTTAGAATGTTAAGGAAATTTCTCTGTAACCTCTCATTAACCTTTTCCTCCCACAAAATAAGTGATGGGGACTAAGAATCAACCTGGACTAGTAGCTTTTATGAGTTTACAAAGGATTTTTAGACATCAAAAAAGCTTTAAAACAATTAGTCCCTTCGATAAATTTCAACAATGCAATGAGAAAACGAAGTTTATCAGAGTTCTGATAAACTTCGTCTTCTCATTGCATTATCGAAAGCTTTATTCCGCCTAAACTACTAAAATGTGAAATACTGTTTAAATCGGCACCCAAATCTCGCAACTTTCCTTTTTTGGGTGACAATAATATACGTACATGCATTACTTGATGACATATGTTCAAGAAATTATACTCTCACTTCATTGTAATATGTTAAAAGCATATAATAGTTTTCCTGTGGACGGTTTACGTAAATCAAAACTCCAAAACATTTTCTACTATCAATCACGTTAATTACGGTATTATGGGTATAAATTTCACACGCGTGTCCAATTATAATTTCAACTGAATAGTTGAAATATGGATAAAATTTGACTCAAAATGTCATTTAAAAAGTTAAATATTACCTCTAAAGGTTGAGAGCTATTCAATTTTTGCACTATAGATTGTTAAAAATATAAAGTCAGAAGCTTTTGAGCTTTCGTGAAAATTATTTCTTAGGTAGACTAATAAACCCCGTTTTTGATGGTCACAAACATAATCTAAAACAGTGCATTAGAATTCTCAGTTTGTAATAATTCAACAAATAAACATCTAGATTAAGAAACATAAAACAAATGATGTCTTCCAACCTATTTCAAGCTTCATAAATATATTTGTGCGTGTTTCAAAAAAGAGCAGTGATTTAGCACTTGTTGTGATTATCATTGCTTTTGTTTACTTGTTGCATCAAAAAGCATTCTCTATCTACTTTAATTTGAAGCATTTCGGTTAAGGTTTGAAATTTTGCTAAAATATGTCTTGTGGTACTTTCTTTCTTGCTGATTCTGACACTTGTGCTTATATTGTGTTTTAAACCTTCTTAATCTGATTACAATCGCTGGCGGTACTTATAAATGTGGACAGCCAAATTGTGGTTTCATAAAATGTGTACCGTTTAAGTCCCATCACATACAAAAGATGCTCGAAGCCTAACTCGAGTTGGATTTGTATGTTTCGATATAAAAATAAGCTATGCGTCTCTTAGCTTTGGCTTGCAAGAAGAAAAATATTGGTTGCGCTGGTAACACGAATAATGACAGTGAAGAATGTATCAGTGTAATACGTGCTGTTTCGGGACGCGTTAAGTATCCCGACTATGATTGACAGAAAAGTAAAATCTCCGTTGAAACTAACAAGGAGTAAAGTGACACTTGATATTGATATTGGTAATCATGCTTCTACAATAGAAATTGAAGACCTGGATAAAACCGTCACCGTTCCTACTAGTCCCGATATGGCTGTCCTGAGTGACGAAAAATGAATGACAGTACAGAGACAAAGTGAAAGGAAAAAATCTATAAGCAGCACCCACTTGGTTGGCAAGTTATTGATAAACTTCTATTCTCAATCACAAAATACACTATCAAAGTTTGGTAGTAAGGCAGAACTCCACCTTAGCGTGGCTGAGAAAAATTTAATCTCATCGAATATTATTAAGGAATTTGCTAAAATCAAACGATCTTGATCCCAAAATTAGACACGTGTTTAATTTATCCGTAGCATCTTTCTAAAACATTCCAAAGGATTTCGTGTCAAAAAATTGATAAGAATAGGTAAGAGGACCGACGACACGTTAGGGTCGGAGAAGCAACGTAATCTTCTGTTAAGTAGCGCTCTTAGTCACGACAATACTGACATTCGAGTAAGACCTGATATGTCTCTAGAATAAAAAAAGTAAACGGTACGAGCAGAACTAAAAACCTGTCGACAAAATGGTGAGGAAAATCCCCGCCTGGTGTGTTTTTGAACAGTCAGATCTTGAGAGCGGATCATACCGGGGCCTGTGTGGGCATGTCGTTCTCCCTAGGAGTTTTATATGTAAATGCTCGTAGTCTAAGAAATAAATTCAATGAACTAGGGGCATTAGTGGACAGATTAAGGCTGCTTATTATGGCTGTGACATAAAATTGGTCCGTCCATGAATTCGACACTACTCCAAAATTATCCGGATAGCATAAGCAATGGTATAGGAATTCGCTCCTTCGCTTGTGAATTCCATGACGGTGGAACTCGTGAAGCCATTAGCTATGGGCTCATTATCGGATGTTGTACATTTATACTCGGTGTCATCTATTGCAGTCCAATACGCTTAGCTGATAACTTTATGTCGGAACACATCCAGCTGTTGAGTGCAAATAACAGATGCTTGATTTTAGAAGACTTTAATGCACTTGATATTAGCTGAACTGAGATGGCCGTGGTAGGATCTATAAACTCCTTTGGTAGTAGGTTTCTATTAACAGCAATAGACCATGCATTAGCGTAGCATATATCTGAACCACACGTTTTGGTTTAAACCAAGGTTCGCCTTTGTTAGACTTGGTAGTCACTTTGCGACTGAAGATATTGCCAATCTAAATACTCTTCCACCTTTAGCAAATAGTAATCACGCTGTTTTGTCATTCATGTTTAGAGCTTTTGAAATGATATGCGATCAGGTTAAGCCTCGTTCAAGTGTATGAAGAGCGTTGCTTAGACAGATTGGTCAGTAGATACTAACTCATTAGTTGACGAAGCATGGTCTATATTTAAAGGCAAACTTAGTTCAGTTACGTCCTCGTTTATACCATACCTGGTACCACGTAGATCGAATAACTATCCGCTATGGAGAACTTAACAAATCAAGGAACTCACCCGGTGTTGTATTACTTGTATCTTCCCATTATTATTTAGAACTGTAATTGATCAGTCTCATGTTGGTATATGTGCATCCTATGCGGATTGCCTCAATATAGTCTTAAGTCACAAGCTAGTGGCAATCCTAAATATCAATAGGAATATACAAGTGAAACAACACCAAGTGAATTAAAAACTTCAACCCATTGCACAAGCAGGTAGCTATCAGAACTCAGTAGCTAAGTGGAAAACGCGATGGCGTTTGAAGCGAACGGTACTGGATTCAAGTCCCGAAGTGAACATCAACTCTGGGATGCAGGTACATCCAGCCAACGAGTTCCGAATGGAACGAAACGCGCGTCCTGGATACCATCGCTAGCCATTATTCATCTTTGCTTAACTTAAGGAACTTCTTAGATGTAAAAAAAAAGCATTAGAATATGCTTATTTCTACAGAACAGATCCAGTCATTGTAAGACTAGGAACACTTGTGTATAAAAAGGTGAACTCAGGGAAGTGATGGATTTTTATCACTTTTCGTACAAGGAAGTTAGTTAATATTGGCAAAAGACTATCCTGAAAATGCTGAAGTTTTATCGGAATATTTTAACCCTGAAAAACAAAAAACACGCTCTGATTTATCATTCTCCATTCAAAAACTGATTAATTTATTACAGTTCGTACTGGCTTAACTGTTTTATATGAATTATACATACGCACACTACACTTTAAAGTGTAGTGTGTGTATCAAATTTGATGCTACATAGGAAGCCATTAAACGAACGGTATGTATTGACAAAGGTAACCAGATGATAGCGAACCAGACAGGCTCTGTGAAGTCAACATACAATAACTCCTCAAAAAATTTTAAGTAGACACTTCGCGTATATTAGGCGAAAAATAGAACATGATGAAAAAAATAAGGTTTGAAAAACCAGAATATCTCATAAACGATTACGATAATTAAAAACAAAGTCTTACAAAAACGGATCATGTGATTTTCATGAAAACTCTCTCACCCTGTTGTCGTAAACTATCTACAGGAAAAAACTACACGTTTCTATCATATTGTAAGACGCGGGGCTGTGAATCTTAGGCAGTTATTATTTAAAACAAGTAGATGAATAGTCTGGCTACAGTGAGAATAAACAAATACTCAAGATGTCTAGGCTAATGTAACATCGAACTCTGAGTAGATTTGTGTTTGTTCTGTAGGTATGTGTATGTTAGTAGTATGGCAGAACGAGTACATAGAAGTTTGAGTCTTCCTTCCAAATATCAAAACACCGTGACGGACAGTCAACTCTTCACTCATCTTACTAGGAATTCGTAATCTAGACAAACCTAGCGCTAGATGCACTATAACTGAACTATATTATAGCACAACCCTTGGAGGTTCTGAAAGATTGGTCGGTCCCTTAACATGGGCTTCTGGTTAACCTCAATAAAAACTGTCTGACACCTAAAGAGACTTTGAGTTACACAGTAAGCAAAGTTCAGCCATTTTCCTAAGCTTGTTACGAACCCCTCCGTAAAAACTGCAGGGCTCCAGGATATACTTGCAGGATCATCAAGCTTAGCCTAAAAAACAGGTTCCCAACAAGTGTTAAAAAGAACTCTATGCCATTAAAACTGAAGACGCTCTTGTGTTTCAACACCCAAGAGATCCGCTTCTGTTGTACTTGATATATCTGGAGTATAAATTGGCTACATCCTACAGTTCATCATTATCCGTCTATTTGACAGCTGATGGGCATTATTTCTACACACGGTGCCGAAGAAAAATGAGTGTGACTGGAAGCAACGTGAAGACTACAGAACTCTCAATCTTCGGGGTGTGCCGAATGGCTACTGAGTTGCTACTCAATACCATAAATCCAAGATTTTGCAAGAAGTCCGCAAGTTATGGTCATATTTACCGAAATCCAATAATCCAGGGAATATTAACGTATCCCAATGACTGCAGGAGACATTTTCGGGAATGCTATCCTTAGGATCGTTTGAATTTGAGAGGATATCCTTTGATCTGAGGAGCAAGATGAAAACGCTTTGAAATTTTGTGTCTCTGTGTGTAACGACCGAACTCCCATTATTCGGTTTAAACGCAGGACTGACGAATCAAAATGTATTCGAATAGGTCAGACTACGCTTTTCTGTATAGCTCGCCAAGCGTTTTTTGAGACACGAGTATTAAATTATATCAAAACACAAATTCTGTGCTCAATTTAAACGGTTCTTATTTAGGAAATAGAACAAATTATATCAAAAATACAAAATACCTCAAACGGTACAACCTGTGATATACAGTCAAAAGTTTCTCTAGGGCAAAGTAGCCCGCTGATAATCAACAAATATATCCCCAACAAACAGGATCAAATATCTATCTGCAGGGATTCCAGAAATCCTCCCAAGCAAACAGTACAAAGGTTAATAGTCACACACTGAATCACGCCGTGACCTTGAGCTTAGCCAAGCACGACCTTACCGTCAATAGTCCGGCAACATGCAATAGGTAACAAAAAGATAAGTCCTTAATCAAAATCAAATAATAAAAGCTCAAACGAGATCTGAACAAAGGTTAAAATATAAGACAGCGAGAAGAAACAAATAAATGACAATACTGTCCAACAAAAAAGACTGTGAAGGGATTTTCATCGTTCTATTTCCGTCACACTGTGTTTTTGAATACGTCTTCGCGTTGAGACGGGTATATACAGATCTTTAAAAAACTTAGGTTTTTGATATTTTAAAGGTGAAATTTTGTTGAAAATATTTATTATGTTGCAATAGGATATATTAGTTAGTGTGTATTTTTTCTTTACAGTGAAGTTTCCCCAATCAGTGCTTAGGTAATTTTGTAAGTCCTTCCAATCGACTTTGTGATGATTTCTACGAATTGTTACAGTATTGCGTTTACCGGCTGTGGTATTTATATTTAGGCTACATATGACAATGTAGTGGTAAATAAATCCCCAAAATAAATAGCTCTGTAAGTTTTCGACATTGGATGCTGACCACATTAGTTTTAATGCACTCATCTAGCTGAAGGTGCTCGGTCATGCATCCGCACCAGATCACGTGTGGGAACGCCGTGCTCAACACCTACTGCAATTCCGTTTCTCGCAAACTTCATCGTTCTTTTTATCGTCTTTTCCAGCCGTCCCGGAAAAGAAAAAAATATGTAAGTGCATGTCGAAATACACTCGTACGCGTGTAAAAACACAAAGCAGGCGAAAAAATGGAAAATATATTCATGTTCACGTAATTGCGTAATAAAACGATTTTTATAATATGGTTTTCCGTGTTTTGTTTTTTTTTAAATAAAAAATAAAAATGTATTAACATCAAATTTTTTGTTTTTTTTTAAAATTATATACAGTGCAAGGGAAAATCGAGATGATATAAAATGTAAACGTGTATCTTACGTGCAGTAATCGTTCAAATGTTCTGGAAATCTCACTTTTCTTCCAGAACTCGTTGTTTTATGTTTATTTTCTGATACCGTCGAAGTATCAAAGTGTGTGTAGGCTTTCTGTTGAGGTATTATAATTGCAGGAGTCGTGTCGTGCCACTGTACTGAAGGAAAGTCGACTTGAATAGGATTTCCTTCTAAATACGCTGCTTTGAGGCGATCGATACTGATGCTATCGTTGATTCCGTTCTTATCGATTATATAGTACTTAGATTCGCGTTGAAGAACTTTGAAAGATCCTTCGTGTGCTGGCTCGAGAGGTCGTCGATGAGAGTCTCGACGTACGAAAACGTGTGTACTATATCGTAAGTCAGGTTGAACGAAAACATCAGTTGATTGTGGTCGAGTGGAAACATGTTTAATTGAACGCATTGCGTTTGTAAGCCTGTTCGCGTAGGAGATTAGATCCATGTCCATCGAAGAAGATGAAAGGTCCACGAATTCTCCTGGAAGTCGAACGGTCGTACCATAAACGAGTTGAGACGCAATGTATCCAATGTCAACTTTTACTGCATTGCAAATACCTAATAAGACGAGTTGATGAGCGTCAGTTCACTGAGAAATGTTTGCGGCTGATAGTGACGCTTTTAGTTGTCAGTGAAAACGTTCTACTAACCCGTTTGCTTGTAGGTGGTAAGCCGTCGCTCGGAAGCGAGCGATTCCTAATTCTGCAGTCAGACAACGGAAAAGTTCAGATTCGAACTGGCGTCCACGATCTGTAGTGATTGTTGTTGGGCAGCCGAAGTTTGCTACCCATCGTTCGACGAATGCGCGGGCCACTGTTTCAGCAGTAATGTCTTTATGGGTGTTGCTTCTGGCCATCGAGTAAGACGGTCTACGCAGGTTAAAAGATAAGAATGTCTATTTGAATCTCGTAAAGGACTACAGTGCAAAGTAGGGCATGGAGGACAGCCGACAGACGCATCCCAAGTAAGGACCGGAGTCAGACAAGGCTGTCTACTCTCTCCCTTTCTCTTTCTTCTGGTAGTCGACTGGATTATAAAGACCTCGACATCTGAGGGAAAACACGGCACACAATAGACAGCTTAGAACCAATCAGACGATTTGGACTTCACATATGACCTAGCCCTTCTATCGCATACACACGAACAAATGCAGACAAAGACAGCCAGCATAGTAGCAGTCTCTACATCAGTAGGCCTCAACATACACAAATGGAAAACCAAGGTCCTCAAACACAACAGGGAGAACAGCAATCCAATCACTCTTGATGGCGAAACTCTGGAAGACGTGGAATCCTTCACATACCCGGGAAGCATCGTCGACAAACAAGGAGGTTCAGATGCAGACGTAAAGGCGAGGATTGGCAAAGCTAGAGCGGCATTCCTTCAACTGAAGAACATATGGAACTCAAAACAACTTTCAACCAATATCAAAGTCAGAATCTTCAATACCAACGTCAAGGCAGTTCTACTGTACGGGGCTGAAACTTGGAGAACTACAACAACCACCATCAAGAAGGTACAAGTATTTATTAATAGCTTTCTACGCAAGATACTTATCATCCATTGGCCGGATACCATCAGCAACAGCCTTTTGTGAGAGAGAACCAACCAGCTTCCAGCTGAAGAGGAAATTAGGAAAAGACGATGGAAATGGATAGGACATACATTGAGGAAATCATCAAACTGCATTACGAGGCAAGCGCTAACTTGGAATCCTGAAGGGAAGCGGAAAAGAGGGAGGCCAAAGAACACATTACGACGGGAAATAGAAGCAGATATGAAAGGGATGAATAAGAACTGGAAAGAGCTTTAAAGGATTGCTTGGGACAGGGTTGGATGGAGAATGCTGGTGAGTGGCCTATGCTCCTTCACGAGGAGTAACAGATGTAAGTAAGTAAGTAAAGGTCCTACCAAATCCAAATGAACGTGGTCGAAGCAAGCATCGGGAGTTTTAAACGAGCCTAAGGGACATTCCTTATGTCTAATAACCTTAGATTTCTGGCAGCTTACGCAGGAGTGTGACCACCCCCTCACGTCTTTATTCATTCCAGACCAGTAAAACCGTTCTGCTATAAGCTTAATGGTTGCACGAACACCTGGTTGAGAACGTTTGTGCAACGTATTGAAGACGTTGCGTCGATAATGTTTCGGCACGATTGGGCGATCCCTACCCGTAGATGTGTCGCGAAGTAAGATTTCCTTACCTCTTCCCATCTGTTTAATTCACAGTTTAGGTTTTGTTGAGGACAACTCGTGCTGAAGATCACTGTCTTCTTTTTGAAGTTGGGCGTGTTTTAGAAGGTCGACTGCTTGGAAACTGTTCAAGGAAATTATTCGAGATAAGGCGTCTGCAACTACATTGTTTGCTCCAGAAATGTGTTGAATATCTGAAGTAAACTGCAAAACGTAGTCCAGTTGTCGAGACTTACGTGGTGAGTATTTTTCTGAAGATGAGCTTAAAGAGAAAGTAAGAGGCTTATGATCGGTAAAAAGGGTGAATTCACGGCCTTCAATATAGTGTTGAAAATGCCGGACAGCACAACACATAGCTAGGAGTTCCCTACCGAATGTGCTGTACCTCGATTCAGTGTCTAGCAACCGTCTAGAGAAAAATGCCAAAGGTTGCCAGGAGTGGTTAACCCATTGTTGTAAGACTG